GGGCCAAAATAATGAGTTGGCTATCATCAATTCTTTGTAGGACACATGATCTTAACTCACCTCATCCTAATTGTATTTCTGCTTCTCTTCTATTAACTGAACACTTTAAAATAAAAAAAAAAAGGACAGCAAGCAAAATTTAAAAAGGAAACAAAGGAAAAAAGAACTTACTAGCTTAAGCTATGAGGATGTCTCATCCTATTCTATGGGATAAGGTTGAAAGTTAGGAAGATCTAAAACATGGTAACTCTAAGAGAGCTTCTTCAACAGAAGTTATTCTTGTATTGGGGTACTCTGTCAGACAAAACATATGAGGGGCAACTAAAGGCACAGCTGAAAGCAAGAGCTTTCGCTTCCTGTCAGGGCGCAGCATTGCTATTATAATGTAAGAGTCAATATGATTATTCACATTATGAAGTGAATGAATAATCCCCACAGGTTTAGGGCACAGAATAAAGTAGTAAACAAGTAAATAAAGCTGGCTACACAATTTTAATATTTACATTCTATCAACTCTTTTGAGTTTTGAAATTTTAAATGTAAAAAAAAAAAGAGTAAATTACTGAATAACACACACAAGTACATAGTGTTGTCCAAATGCAGAGCTAATAGCCTAATGCAATTTAAGATGCTCTAGGGTATCCAAAACATTCAACAGGGTGACAGAGGACACGGAGACATATGAGCTATAAAGAAGCTGAGGAGGAATACCCTAAAATGGCTGTAATCACCTACACTTAGGCATTTGAATCCCACCCTAAACAGCTTAATGTTGTTCTCTCTTAATTTCAGTTTCTGTGTGCACATTGAATGAGGGTGGGAAATACTTGGAGACTGTGACTGACCAATAACTCCTACCATGGAAGAAGGCTCAGAGGAGATGGGCAAAGGGTGAGGTGCCCATGAAACAGATAAAACAACAGATGAAAAATTTTAGGAATTGATGGCTAGATTGCCAATGCTGTCAGGCTTGGAAGTGACATGATGCTCAATCCATCCATCCAGGTTTTCTCCCGTCTGCCAGGGAAAGCACCCCATTCTCCCCACTATCGTCCCAACTCTCCTAATTGCAGAAGCAGGTTTGACTTGTGAGGTATGGTCAGAACAATGAATTTAGTTTATTGTCCTGATTTAGGTTGCAGTGATCAAGTCCAGGGCTGCCCAGCAGGGACCCTCAAACAACACCGTTCACATGATTTGCCTACCTTATTATCCCTTTCCTGTTTCTCGACCTTCCTTTTTACCACCTTTTACCTCCCTTTTTTTCACCCTAGTCTGATCCCAATTAAACAACCTGCCCCTAATTACTTTTTCCCCATTGGTCCCAGTTTTCATATATCCATACACAAATTTGGTATTTTGTGATACTGGTCCCTAGGCATTCTTGGTCTGATATGCTGTCACTGATACAGTTGCCCAGGCATTGGTGGCCTTGCAAGGTTCCACTCCCCAAAAGGCCCCTAATGCTCCCCATCAGATGTTAAAATGAGCATATGTTATGGGCTGTAAGTAGCAGGGGGCTGCTAAGGTGACTTGGGGGAGGGAGTTGGGGGAGGTCATGAACCACCATGTGTCAGTCAAAACCAGTTCCAGCCTTCCCTGAGATAAATGAAAATAACAACGGGGAAAAATAAATGCCAAAACTTTATCCTGTCAGAAAAGCACCTTGTCCCTACTCAAACTTACTAAAGAAAGAAATCAGCAGCTGCTAGGGGCTGGAGACACACTCTTAGCAGTGGTGGTGATTGGGTTGGATCAGGAGATATACCCTGAAGGGCTCGTGACTCATGGGTGACCACACTGGAGCAGGTACAGTAAGGAATAGAGTGGCAGAAACCATTATGCACAGTGTGATAGAAGCTGTTACACATACCACTCTACTTCCTACTCCACCCATCACCATTATGTACATAACCATAGAATCATAGAATGCATAAGGTTGGAAGGGACCTCTAGAGGTCATCTAGTCCAACACCCCTGCACACGCAGGGTCACCTAGAGCACGTGGCACAGGACTGCATCCAAGCGGGTTTTGAAGATCTCCAGAGAAGGACACTCTGCAATCTCTCTGGGCAGCCTGTTCCAGTGCTCTGTCACCCTCACTGTTAAAAAATTTTTCCTTAAGTTCCTGTGGAACTTTTGGTGCTTCAGTTTGTGGCCATTACCTCTAGTTCTGTCAGTGGCCACCAGT